ATACATACATACATACATACATACATACATACATACATACATACATACATACATAACTCTATGTACAGTATTGGCTTTTATAATTTAAGGCTCTTTTAAAGTTCACCAAAAATAAAAAAATAAATAAAATAGGGCACATAATTTGAGATCATCATTCAACTCATTCCATAATTTCACACCAAAAACTGAAACACATCTAAATTTTATTTTACATTTCTCTTTAACTTGTTCAAAAATTAACAAACCTTGCAAATTTTGTTCTCTCTCTTTTAACTTAATAATTTTTGAATTCCAGAAGGAAGACTTTTATTCAATGCTTTATACAGTATTTCTAGTATTTTTTTTATGTATTTATGTTCCTTTGAATGAAAAGTTTATTTGTTGGTTCACAATATCCCAGTTTATTAATGACCCTAATAGCTTTTTTGTAACTTAACTAATACGTCAATAGTTGTTTTATTTGCATTTCCACATATTTCTGAGCAATATGACAAATAAGGTCTAATTAAGTTCCTCCCATAAAAGAAGAAGAAAGCAATCAAGAAAAGAAAAGCAGGAAAGGCTGCCTAAACGCTAGTTGCATAATTAATTTAATGAAACTAGCATATCAACTAAACAAAAGTGCACTTTTTAGTAAAGAAAATATATTAAATTTGTGACGTTTTATTAAAAATAAAGAAGAAAACAATTTAAAAAACTTTTTGGTTCATCTTCCTTCTGTCTAATTTTACTACATAAATATCAACCTCGTGTTTTCATTATATTTTTAAGAGTAAAAATACGTAAATTGGTTCTGTTGCCATCTGTTAATGAATGCATCAGGTCATGAGACTGTTTGTTTTTGTGCATGCTGGGAAATGTAGTTCTACGTCGCTCACGTGTCAATCGTGCTGGAAAGCTTAAATATCACAGGAAAACGCCACTTCCCATAAAACACCGCGCCTCTCTACGCTCGTTACTTCCAGCCTGAACAGAAATTATCTCATTTTGTAGCTGATAGAAGCTGTTAAGGCACATTTAATGAAAAGAATCAAGAGGTTCTTTGATTTCGTGTAGTTTCTTTTCCCTTCTGAAATCTTTAATGAGCGCGACATTAAAAAATAAAATACGAGCTTCGCTGTTGAAGTGAGGAGAAGAGATGAAGAAGCTAATTTGTTGCTAACAGAAGATTGAAGCTTCGTCTGAATAAAACAGACTTAAAACAGTTAACTCATGTTTGTGGAACCTGCTTTAATCCTGTTGGTTAGATAAGATTTTCCGCGATGGAAGAAGTTGATAAAATCCTGATTCACGCTCTCAGACACGTCGGCACGTGAGTGTTTCTAATGAAATATTTTTAATGAACGTTAGCTTGTTGTCAGGGGGTGGGTGAGGAGTTTATCCTGCTGTCAGGTGGTTAGCTTGTAGTCAGATGTTAGCTTGTTGTCAGGTGGTTAGCTTGTAGTCAGGTGGTTAGCTTGTTGTCAGATGTTAGCTTGTTGTCAAATGGTTAGCTTGTTGTCAAATGGTTAGCTTGTAGTCAAATGGTTAGCTTGTTGTCAGGTGGTTAGCTTGTTGTCAGATGTTAGCTTGTTGTCAAATGGTTAGCTTGTTGTCAAATGGTTAGCTTGTTGTCAAATGGTTAGCTTGTTGTCAAATGGTTAGCTTGTTGTCAGGTGGTTAGCTTGTAGTCAGGTGGTTAGCTTGTAGTCAGATGGTTAGCTTGTTGTCAGGTGGTTAGCTTGTTGTCAGGTGTTAGCTTGTTGTCAGATGTTAGCTTGTAGTCAGGTGGTTAGCTTGTAGTCAGGTGGTTAGCTTGTAGTCAGGTGGTTAGCTTGTAGTCAGGTGGTTAGCTTGTAGTCAGGTGGTTAGCTTGTTGTCAGGTGGTTAGCTTGTCAGATGGTTAGCTTGTCAGGTGGTTAGCTTGTCAGGTGGTTAGCTTGTAGTCAGGTGGTTAGCTTGTAGTCAGATTTTAGCTTGTCGTCAGTTGGTTAGCTTGTCGTCAGGTGGTTAGCTTGTCAGATAGTTAGCTTGTCAGATGGTTAGCTTGTCAGGTGGTTAGCCTGTAGTCAGATGGTTAGCTTGTAGTCAGATGGTTAGCTTGTCGTCAGGTGGTTAGCTTGTCGTCAGGTGGTTAGCTTGTCGTCAGGTGGTTAGCTTGTCGTCAGAAGGTTAGCTTGTTGTCAGATTGTTAGCTTGTTAGGGGGGCATTGACCCATTAACACCCTGCCAACAAGCTAACACCACCCTAACAAGCTAACGCCATGACAACAAGCTTTGTTTTCATCCCACAGAGAGGTGGGGGAGGATGTCGACAGCCTGAAGCGGTTCACCAGTGACCTGATAGTGGAGGCGGTGGTCAGATGTGTTCGTGTCATCGAACCGGGCTTGGGGGGCGCCCTGCCCACCTCGCTGCCCCCTGGCATGTCCGCCCGCTTCAGGGTGGGCATGAGCCTGGCTCAGGCCTGTCAGGTGAGAAAGGCTAATTGACAAACCGCGAACAGCTAACAGATGAAAGGCTAACAGACAGAAAGCTATCAGAAAACCAATAACAGAAGTCACATGACTGATAACATTTCATTCTACGATAAATACTTTCTTTGTTTTTCTCATGCAGCTGAACGTTCTGTAGCTAATTGGATAATCTGAAAGACATTTAGCCAGTCACTAGTTTCCTTCCTCACTGCTGGTTGAACTTTTAAAGAACGATTAAATATTACTGTTATAACAAAACCATGTTGTAAAAGACAAAGCAGAGATAACAGCTACACACAAGTTTTATGTAGAAGTTATAGAAATAAGCAGTCCTGAACAAAATGTTTATATTCTTTAAAAAAAATCTTAAAATCTGTGGTATTTTACAGTTTAAAGGACAGGAGGGAACTCTGCAGTTTTTATATTTTTAAATCTAAAAGTTGTTTTTACTACCTGTTGGTTTAAAGGACGTCGGCTACAAAGGAGAGATTGGCTACCAGACGTTTCTCTACAGCAACGAGCCGGAGATCCGCTCGCTGCTCATGTTCCTGGTGGAGAAGCTTCCCAGAGAGAGAGCCGAAGCTTCGGACCAGTCTGCAGGTACACCTGTGGGACACCTGTCCAACCTAACCCTCCACCTGACTATAAGCTAAAACCAGCAGAACCACATCATAGCTCAGATCAACAAACGTGCAGCCAAAGGCTAATAAAGCTAACCTGAATGCATCACTACTTTAACTCGTCTTGTTTTGTTTGTTGTGTTTTTAACTCTTTTCTTCACTCCTGGCAGGAAAATCTGCCGTCCTCCAGAGATCCATCGCTGCTGCAATCAGAACCCAGCTGGCTGCTTCCTGGGTGCCTCCGAACTGCAGACTGCCCCTCCACTGTGAAACTCAGGTGGTCCTGATAATACCGGAGCTCTGCAGGAACACGTGAACCAATCAGAACCGGTCTTTAGAGGCAGACACATGGAGTTACTCGGCTCAGTTTCCAGAACCTTTGAGTGTTTAGAACCCAGTTAATGAATCTTTGTGAGGCGACAGACGGACAAAGATCTGAGAACTAAAACTTATTTGTTTTTTTTGTTCAGAATCACGGAGCGTTGCACAGCTTCCACGTCCAGCCGCTCACTTTCCCACACTGCACTAAAACTTCAGACAAGAAGCACCTGAAAGGTCTACCACCCTGCTCGCTACATTTTACCAGAAATGCTTGTGCACCTTGTTCTGACAGAACTGGGTCTGTGTTGTCAGAGGTGCAGGACTACCACAGAGACGTCCTTCCTCCTGTCACCGCCCAGGCGTCCAGCCAGGCCTCTGCGGTGGCGTCCATCTTGGAGCGACACGCGGCGGAGCTGAGCGCTGCTCAGGAGTGGGACAACGATTGGAAGAGTCAGGGTCTGCTGTCTCGTCTCACGCCGCAGGTAGACGGGCTCACGGTTCTGGTCCCTGGACCTGAACATTTAAAAACAACTCATCAGAGCGTGTCTGAATAACTCGATACGCTGATGATGATGTGTTTTTACTGCAGGAGTACCGCTCCAGGAAGTCGAGCCGGCTGCGTAAACGCATCGAGGAGCAGCTGCGGTCTGCCGCCGCTCCCTCCCCGGAAAGTGCCTTTGGCGTCTCTCGCTCCGCCTCTGAGCTGACGGAGCTGCTGCAGACCTTCAAAGGCTCCGCCCCCTCCGCCCACGTCCTGACCAAGGGCACCCATTTCACCCACGCTCAGAAGTTCACCTTCACACAGGTGAGTAACGACTGGGGGGGCTTAGAAACGAACGCCCCTGCAGGTAAACATTAACGCCTTGTGTTCTCCAGGAGGGGGCGGCGACGAGTCCGGTCCTCGCCGGGCGCCAGTCTGAGGGCGACGCCCAGATCCGTCAGCAGGAGGAGCTCTCCTCCCTTCAGCAGCAGTTCCAGCAGCTCTGCAGCGAAGTCGACCAGCTGGCAGCCGACATAAAACACCTGAACGTGACCAACGCACAGGTAAGTTTACAGCCTTTAACTAGACTAACTAGTTGAACTAGTTTTTATTGTTTCAGTAGTTAAACTAGTGTAATTAGAGGTACAGTTTAACTAGTTAAACATGTTGGTTAAACATGTTACTCTTATTTAACTAATCAGTAAAAATTAATTACAGGAACTAGTTAATTCAAAGAAAGTAATTTAACTAAATGACAAACTAGTTTAAAGAAGATGAATTAGTTGAAACAGTTAAGCAAGAGGAGATAGCTTCACTAAATGAAGAAAYTAGTTTTACTAGTTAAACAACAGGAACTAGTTTAATTAAATAAAAGAAAGTATTTCTACTAGTTAAACAAGAGTAACATGTTTATTTACTAGTTAAACTGGTTACTCTACTTAACATGCCACTCTTGTTCAACTAGTTAGTTAACCTGAAGAACAGGAACTAGTTAAACAAAAAGTAGTTTAAACAACAGAAACTAGTTTAGCTAAAGAAGAGGAGCTAGTTTAATTAAATAAAAAAATTGTTTTACTAGTGAAACAGGAACGAGGTTAACAAAACAACAGGAACTAGTTTAAATAGAGGAGAGTATCTACTAAACTATGTTTACTAGTTAAACTATGTTTACTAGTTAAACGAGGAGATCTAGTTTAACTAAACAGAAACTTGTTTAACTAATCAGTTAAATGAAAGGAACTAGTTAAACTAGAGGAACAAACACAATAAAAATACCCAAACACAAGCTAAATGTTCAAAGGATAAAAAAGCTTAATGCCAGGGAAAACATTAGTAAATAAAACGTAAAAGTAGCTAAACACTAGCTTAAAGTTAAAAAGTAAAAGGCTATCAAAAAGGGAAAAAAAAACAGCTAAACAGTAGCTAAAAGGAGTCAGACACTTGCTAAAGGTTAAGTGGTGAAAATGGCCGACGTGTTTTTCCCGCAGGTGTTGGACGAGCTGAAGCAGAGGGAGCTGAGAAACGCTGAGGAAGAGGAGAAGATGCAGGTGAAGAAGAAAACAGCCGACCTGCTGCCTGACGCAGAAAACAACCTGCTGAAGCTTCAGGTAGGAGGAACACCTGAGCTGCTCCGTCTGCCCTCAGAGGCTCTGTCCCTAACCTTGCTGTCCCCTCCTGCAGTCTCTGGTAGAGGGCGGAGCCAAGCGGGTGGTGAACCTGGCGTCCCAGTGGGAGAAACACCGAGCCCCACTCATCGAGGAGTATCGCAGACTTAAAGAGATCTGCAGCAACAAAGATGTGAGCTGGTGATCAGACTTCAGCTGTCCTCACTGAGCTCCCATCTTTAACCCACTTCCTGTTTTCACAGCTGGAGTCCAACAGAAAACTCTCCGAGATCAAATCTCTCCACGAAAAGATCCGCGTTTCCACAGAGGAGGCGAAGAAGAAGGAGGACACGTACAAACAGCTGGTGAACCTGCAGTGTTCTTGGCTCTGTGTTTAAATTAGAACAGAATGTGGATTTGTTTCAGTAATGTGTCTGTCGGGTCGGGTCGGGTCGGCCCGGCCCGCTTCCTGTCCTTCACAGGTAACAGAGTTAGAGAGGCTTCCTAAGGACGCGTCCCGATCAGCTTACACTCAGAGGATTCTGGAGATCGTCGGAAACATCAAGAAACAGAAAGAAGAAATTACAAAAGTAGGTTCATGATTTTAAAATGTTAATTCATTAATAAGTTATTTATCTGATGAAACCACCAGATTGTGTTGAGTCTTAGGATGTGGATTTTGCTGCCTGTGAGCAGAATGTTGGTGACAGAACCAGGATCAGGATCAGGATCAGGGTGGGCAGCCATCTTCCTTGAGAAACTCCACCTGGACCACAGAACTATAACCCCAATTCCACTTAAGTTGGGACGTGGTTCTGCACCTGGACTATAGAAACTTGTGCTAGTCCAGGTGCGGTTTCTGTGGCAGAGGTGTGGTTTCAGTTGGTCCAGGTGCGGTTTCGATTGGTCCAGGCGTGGTTTAGGTTGGTCCAGGCGTGGTTTAGGTTGGTCCAGGCGTGGCCTCGATTGGTCCAGGCGTGGCCTCGATTGGTCCAGGCGTAGTTTTTGTTGGTCCAGGTGTGGTTCCTCTGGTCCAAGTGTGGTTTTTGTTGGTCCACTTGTGGTTTTGGTTGGTCCAGGTGTGTTTTGGTGGGTCCAGGTGGGGTTTTGCTGGTCCAGGTGTGGTTTCGAATTCAATTGGTCCAGGTGTGGTTCCTCTGGTCCAGGTGTGGTTTTTGTTGGTCCACTTGTGGTTTTGGTTAGTCTGGGTGTGGTTTTGGTGGGTCCGGGCGTGGTTTTGGTTGGTCCAGGTGTGGCTTCGGTTGGTCCAGGTGTGGCTTCCTCTGGTCCAGGTGTGGCTTCCTCTGGTCCAGGTGTGGCTTCCTCTGGTCCAGGTGTGGTTTCTCTGGTCCAGGTGTGGTTTTGGTTGGTCCAGGTGTGGCTTTGGTTGGTCCAGGTGTGGCTCCTCTGGTCCANTTTTGGTTGGTCCAGGTGTGGCTTTGGTTGGTCCAGGTGTGGCTCCTCTGGTCCAGGTGTGGTTCCTCTGGTCCAGGTGTGGTTTCTCTGGTCCAAGTGTGGTTTTTGTTGGTCCAGGTGTGATTCCTCTGGTCCAAGTGTGGTTTTTGTTGGTCCACGTGTGCTTTTGGTTGGTCCATGTGTGCTTTTGGTTGGTCCATGTGTGGCTTCGATTGGTCCAGGCGTGGCTTCGATTGGTCCAGGTGTGGTTCCTCTGGTCTAGGTGTGGTTTTGATTGGTCCAGGAGTGGCTTTGGTTGGTCTAGGTGTGGTTCCTATGGTTCAGGTGTGGTTTCCATGGTCCAGCAGTGGTTTTTATGGTCCAGGTTTAGTTTCTATGTCCAAAGGGGGGTTCCTCTGGTCCAGGTAGATTTATCATAAAGGAAGTCTTCAGTCTAGTCTTGAACAGGGAGTCCACCTCACAAACAGAAACTGGAAGTTAGAGCCTGAGAACTGAAAGCCCCGCCTCCTGTTCTACTGTTAGAACCTGTAGGAACCACAATAAACCTGCAGTAAATAGACTCAGTCTGTTCAGGTGGGATCAACAGGTGTTTGGTTTCTCCTTACAGATTTTATCCGACACCAAGGAGCTCCAGAAAGAGATCAACAACCTGACAGGAAAACTGGACCGGACCTTCGCTGTGACCGACGAGCTGGTCTTTAAGGTTCGTTTGATTCTCAAGAAACGATTCGAGAAACGGTTTCACATCCTGTCCGTTTAATCTCTTTAATCCTGGGTCACAGGACGCCAAGAAGGACGAGTCGGTCCGGAAGGCCTACAAGTACCTGGCTGCTCTGCACGAGGTGCGTCTTCGTCTCTGAGGCTTTGATGTTTTTGATGATTTGTTTAAAATCTATTTCTGTTTTTGTTGCGTAGAACTGTAATCAGCTGATCCAAACCATCGAGGACACGGGAACAATCCTGAGAGAGATCCGAGATCTGGAGGAGCAGGTAGGATTTACAGGTTTAACCCTTTCTGTCATGTAGTTTATTACATTTCCATTTCAAATAAAACATCGTAATTTTAAAACTTTTCATGCTTCACTGGTTTTTATTCCTCAACTTTGTCATAAACTCTAAACTTAAATGTTAGAAATTTTTCAAAAATCTTGGGAGACGGTGAAATAATAAAGTCCAGGTTCTGTTTGACGTCAGATTAAAGAGTTTTCCTGTTTTTAATCCACAGATCGAGGCAGAAAACGGGAACAAAACCGTGTCGAACCTGGAGAGGATTCTGGACGACTACAAGGCGATCCGCCAGGAGAACGCTGCTCTCGCTGCTAAAGTCCGAGAAGGCTGACGGGTCCTGGTCCTGGTCCTGGTCCTGGCCCTGTCGGAGGAAAACCTGGAGACTTTAATAGATCTGAGGCGGGAGCAGATCGTCGGTTCTTCAACACGCAGACCAGCTGATTTTTGTGGCGTGGAAATTAATTTTACCGCTTGTCCCTGACGGACGAGACGTTCAGATGGTTTCTGAATCTACAGTTTGGTTCTGATCAGTCTGGTGTGAACCGGATCTGTGGACACAAGAGGGCGCCGTCATGAAGCATCATCAGAACAAACTGGACTTCAAATTCTTTAAAACAAATGTTGTTTCAGGTATTCTCAGTTTACTGATCATGTTTGAACCTAAATGAATGTAGATGAATCAAAATGTTCTGATCCATCAGCAGAGTATTGTTGTTCAACACTTTAATAAAGATGCCTTACAGACGGCTGAACTGCAAACTGGGTGTGTGTGTGTGTGTGTGTGTGTGTGTGTGTTTGTGTGTGTGTGTGTGTGTGTGTTGGCAAAATATCTCAAACCACTGAGTGCATTTTAACAAAGCTCTCAAATGAACTATTCAACATACTTCTGATTCAAGATGGCCGCTATCAGAACTACTGTTAAAAGAGTTTTACTCACCTTTGTGCTGAGGAGCCCCGTCTTGAACTGTGAACAGGGTTCATCAGAGTTGCTCCCACTCTCCTACTGGGAATTCCCACTTAATGTTTCTACAGGGGGTCTGGCAAATCTGTCGACTACAGTAGTTTTCCCTCTCAGATCTGAAAGGTGCACGTTGGGTTCTTTGGTGATCATCGGGTGAGTGTGATGGTGGTTTGTCTCTACATGTCCCTGTGGTGAACTGGAGGAGACCTGTCCAGGAACTAGCCATTAGCTTAGCCTGTACAGAGACTTTTGCGTCTTTCCCCAAACTTCGGGTTCAATAACCAACATTGCAGCTGATAAAGTATGGAGCTAAATTGGGGTTAAAAGTTTTGTTCAAAATCAAAAGTTTTTGAAAAAGGAAAAAAATTTTGAAATTGAAAAAAAAAATTAGGAACTGGAAAAGCTTCAAACATCTTGTTTTTTCAGTTTCACCTTTTTTTTCAGTTTCAC